GAGCCATGCCACGGGTTGATATGGCAATTTTCACCAATAACAACTTTTGAAAAATAATATCCTTTTTTTCTCTCAACGAGCTTTACAAATCAATACAGAAAAAAGAACACACTTGAATTAAGCAGATGCTTATGACATTCCTCCTGGCAATTTAATGTGATTTATTGAGTTATACTGCAGTCTTCGTTTTTTTAACCAGATTAAGGTTGAAAAGGAGCCGGCAACTAAAACATTTTTTCCATTTTTATTTATATTATATTTAGTTATGTTATATTTTTAGTTAAATAAACTTGTGGAAGAGTACAGAAGCTACAAGACCTAATGGCCCGGATATGTAATTAATCAGATTTGAAAAGCAAGTACCATTTATCTCCATAAAACAAATAGAATCTATTCTATTAAGAAAACCCATTCAAATCACAAATCTGACTGCTGTTAGTGAGAATATTTTGCTTGGCAAGGGGCCTAAAGGCTCTAAAATTATATATTCTATTTTTATTTCCTCCTTGGATTGGATTAGTTACTAAGGCAACTGAAGAGTTCAGTTCTGCTGGTTAACAGTTATCCTGGATTTCATAAAATCAGTTACTATATAGGGCCTAAGTGCCCAGAAAGAAAAAACAGTACAGTGGTTTTTTGGAGGCTCTTTGCTTATAAGCGGTTTCCTACACCCAACTGTATCTCCTGACATTTTAAAGGCATGTAATTATATCTGGGTCGCAAGTTTGTTCAAGTTTGATTTCTGGGTTCTATTTTTATAAAAAGAGGGATGCAACCTCTCCAAACCAGCGTCCTCCTCGACAAGAGAATTTGATCACTTTTCATTTCCTGAAGATGACACAGCTCCAATTCACTAGTGGCACCAGTGCAACGCGTGCTCTCCGGTGTGCTGAACAGAAATAGGGCACTGTTTAATGGAAAAGTTAAGAAGTGACAGGAAAGATAAAGAAGATTCCCCAAAATAGCTCTCACTCCTGAAAACGCTCAAAAATCTTGGCATAAAGGAAAAAGATCTGTAACACCCTTTAAGTCTCGTCTAACGGTCATATTTTTAGCTGATCTATTGCTATCACTTTTAATTACAAAGTTTCATATGGCTATACTTTTGTCACCACGGAGGAAAAAAAAAAAAAATATTTCGAGCCTCTGAGGAGTGTAAAGTGTTCTGTTTACTGTTGCAAAAAGCCCTCTAAAACCTCCACTGTGCAACCTGACGAGGTATGTGCCAAGCCCACCTTACGCAGCACAAAACTGGGAGCAGATGGGCAGCTTGATGGTTGACTCCTTTGGTTTGGGTGGTTCTTGCTAACATAACTTCAGCTCAACCAGTTGGGTCAGCTCAACCCAACCTCCTCCTCTCCTTCAGCAAACCTTGTTTGAAGAAGATGTTATTTTGGACGAGAAGAACATACACTTGAGTGACCAGATGCCGTGTCAAGCATCTTTCCTGCTCAGATGCAACTAGGTCAGGTAAAGCTCCTTCCTTTCCAGGCTACAAGGAAAACACCGTTAAAGCTGGCAAATCATTTGGATGCACCAAATATCTAACTTTGCTTCACTGAGCTCTGGGGCAAGGAAAAGCCAAGCTGAAGCACAGGGTTGCACGGCTTTCACCAGGCAAACACGCAGGTTAGCAGAGGGATGGAGAGATGCTGGACTGTGCATCAGTCCCAGCGCTGCCCATGTCACCCATTTCTTCTAGACAACATAATTTAAGCTCCTACCCATAAATAGATGTTACTGGATGATGACAGAGGTAATTGGAAAGGCTTAAAGCAGCTACTCCATAAATCATTTGTATTCGCTGGGTTCCACCTGTGCCCTCGCTGTACTCTCCCTCTTCTGCTGGCTTTGACAGGCAGTGCACAAAGTGGGTCACTTTCTGCTCCCTTGAATATTTTATCACTAAAACGGGAACAGCGAAAGGTCGGCGTTCAAAGGGATTCCTAGCCCACATCTCTGCGTGGCTTCAACAGCCCAGGTGATCTCGGGAGCAGGCCTGTTGAGAGGCACACAGGACCTCTGGCAGAATCGCTGCCCCAGTATCACCGTGTTTCCTCCCATGCGGCTCCTCGCTGTCTCAGGGCTAATGTCCACACAAAAACCCTATTGCTAGAGGCTAAAGCTGACCCCCAGCATGGAGCACACTATTCCCGAAACTAGTTCAGGGTTTTCAGCCCCTTCTTTCAACTACAGTCAATTCTTTAAGCAGTGCTCTTCTAACAACTTTTCAATAAAACAACAATTGAAGAGCCATTAGTGATGCTTAAAGAAAGCCTACAGCGGTATGAGACCGCGAGGCAAGAGCCCACCTTCCCGTCAGCTGCACAGAGCTGCAGGTTTGTGCTCAAACCTGCTCTCTTGAGAGCCTACAACCTCTGCAAGAGCAAAGACGCTATTTCAAAATCAAAGGGAAGGGAAAAAATTCATCCTTGTGATGCCACCCACCTCTGCTCCCCTGCCAATTGCAGGGAGAGTGACATTTCCATCGCTTCCGTGCTCCCATTTAAGCTGGGAAGGCCCAAAGCAGCCGGGGCTTTATCTGCGAAAGCCAACGCTACAAATGCCATCGGGTACAAATTTAAAATAAAAAATGCTTTGTACCCAATTTTAAATGTTAAGAACTGGAAGAAGTACTGGGGAAGATGGAGAAGGAGGGGGAGCAGCATCTGAGCACCTCTTTAACTGGTGTAGTCATTTCAAGTACTGATGCTGAGCAGTGGTACGAACGAAAGGCACTGGAAAATATGGGCATTTAAAAATCAATGGGGAAATGCCGAGATGCTGACCTGCAGCTCCCGTAATGACAAGTCAGCATTACCAGTGGACATGTTAGACTGTGAAACCTCAGAAGCAAGTCAGCAGCCTAACACAAAGCAGAGCACAAAGCTAGCCCTTCACGCGCTTTTTTGCAGCTTCTCTTGCTTCACCAAAGCCTTGTCCTAACACAGCAATCTATCAATCTGGATAGCAAACTATCCAGAGCATAACAGCCACGGTTAACAGGACTACGGTGACAGGCACTGCTGTGCCCAAGAAATAACATCAGAACCAACGTTTCAACACCAGAATCACCACTTCACAAATGAACTAACCGTTCTCTCTTAAAACTCCACAAGCACACCAGGGGAAAAGTCCTTCAGAGATGTTCACCCTTCTCATTGGGCTCAATCCTTCCAAATTTCTGAGCAAGGCTGACTAAGGTGGTCTTCACTTTTGGCATACGTGTGGCCCCCCCCCAGCTTTAGTAGGGCTGCTCATGCTTAGGTCTCCTTGATCCACTGCTGAGCACCCATAGTTCTCAAAAGCACTTTTTTTTTGAAGAAGAAGAAATAAATGAAGCAAGGAGACCACATGTTTCTGTGCGGCAGCTTTGCTCTTGCAGCGCTAGCTCTAGCTGCCCACAAACAGTATGCCTCGCACCGTGCCACAAAGGCATTCAAATCGCCTTCTTTGATTTTCAAGTTAATCCATTCCCAAAACTATTACCCCATGCGAGCCAGGCTGCTGATTTAAACAGGAGCACTTGCAGGTTTGCAAAATCAGGTCACAGGGAAAAAAAAAAATAAAAAAATCCTTTGTTTTACAATGCCTGGAGAATGTACTTGTGGGAAAGACAGGGTTTCTTTTCGAGGGAAGGAAATACGTGGTGAAACTCAAGGAAAGGAAAATGAATCCTTACTTCTGAACTGAAACAAACTGCTGTCTTAGTGGCACAAGTAAATTAAAGGTGAAGGCTTTGTCAGTGGCTGTGCGCTGTGGAAGACAGCTAGAGTAAAAATGTAAGATTTCTGGGACAGGAGGAGTCACAAGAGATGAACGTTGCATGATTTAATTATCCAACTGGAGGGAGAAATTAAGCTTTTGACTCGGAGCTGCATATAAAGAGAGCAATTAGACTTCTCTTTAAGAAAATTAGCATACGGTTTAAGGAGGGAGTAATAGTTTAAAATGCTAGTATGAAATTGTTACTTACACGCCATGGTAATAGGCAGACACCGCAGCATGCTATGCAGATTGAACTGGATGTTCCCTGGGTTTGTAACAGCATCCCCTCTGCAGAGGGAAGCGGCCTCGTGCTGCCGTGCAGGAGCAGGAGACCTGCCCCAAGTCATTTTTCCGGGCGGACACAGCCCCTGCATTTCACACGCTAGTCGCCATGTCAAAACCCAAAGTGCTGCTACGTAGCTTGGGTATGTTTTATTCATAGATTATTAATCCCCTCGAAATCTGTGTGTGCTGCGGAACTGTTCTTGAAATCGGCTCTGCATATATATGCACACGCTTAACTCGGGTTCAAGTTTTTTGACAGATTGCCATGTAATAGTGTACAGTGAACGCGGAAGAGTAATCTGCTCTTCCTCTTGTAAATGAATATACACACATGCCTTTGCTCTCCAGGTGTCACTGGCACCGCATTAAATAATTCCAGTGAAAAAACGCTAAGTTTCCAAAAAAAAAACAACAAAACAAACACCAAAAACCAACCCTCAACCAAACTTCAGATTTTCCAAGAGGACAAATCAGTACGAGTCCTTTGACCAAAACAAAACCCTGCCAATCTATTCTAGGAAACAAGTCCTAAAGCATTAGGAAAATATTTAGTAATAGATTTAAAACTTAAACTAAGTGACTTTCAGGATCGGATATAAGCTTATTCTCTGTACTGTGCACCAACTTTCTATCAACTCCATCCTCCTCTTGGAACGCTACCAAAATTACTGAGCTCTCATCAGCGCAGAGCAGAGCACTTTTGACCCAGTGTATGGTTTTGTTATGGTATCCTTATTTGAACAAGTAACAATTCTGAGGAAGTCAATGTTTGCTCTGCTATTATTTCTATCTAGCAGCACTTTCCAGAGCGAAGAAATTGCTCTATCATGCGTGTAGGAGCACTTGGCTTGCACATCAAGAGTCCCCAGAGGGTTAAAAAAAAAAAAAAAAAAGCACTTTTTGAAACCCTATCAACATGCACACAAATTGCACACCAAAGAACTGGCTAGTATAAATTTGAATGCATTTAACACCCAAGCGAGGAGCAAGGATGGTAACTCTGAGGTAACAATCTTTCCCTTTTGTGTAACTGGCTGTCCAACAAGACGTTTGAAAGAGTAATCATTTTCCATTCATGATCTTTTACCATCCACTTTTATCATCAGATATTTAACTTCTCTCTTCTAAACTAATGCAAGAAAAAGAAGAAATCAGTGCAGGTCTTAGTGCACTGATATAAGTACACGTTACTTTAGTTTCATTTTCCATTGAACAGACTCACAGGGCTCTCTTTGAAGCCCTGGGATCTCAATGGTAAAAACCTAATGTGATTTGACCTCTTTTATACAGAAAATGGGTTGATGGAAAGAAGATAACGTCTGCAGCTTTACACAACTCTTACATTCACTGAGCTTCTATTACTAACCGTAACGGAGGGGAAAACATTAAGTGTAGATCCACATACGTGAAGGATATCGTCGGACTAATCACCAGTTAGTTAACTCTTGATCTTGCAGAGTCTCACTATAATTCAGCACAAAACCGGCCAAAACGAACACCTGGAGTGGTGAACACCTGGTTTGTAACAGCCGCCCCAGGGGACAGGCAGACATTTATCCTGCTGCATGGTTTGGGTACCCTCGTCTCTTGTGCTGCAGGGATCATTCTGAGAAATTAATTAGTATTAGTAAACACGGGTTGTAAGTACTTAAAGCAGTATTTTTATAATACATTGACAAGTCTTTCCTTGAGTATTACACTACTGGATACCAAGGCATTACAAGGGGACATTTAGAGTGTGTGTCTTGTGCCAGCATGGCACGAAATACACACTAGCCCCCGATAACAGCACTCTGCAGGAGCTGCTTCTTGATACTGCAACAAGCAGTGCTAGCCTGCGTGCCCATCTCCCTGCCAATCCTCTAAGTTCCCGTAAGCACTGGTCATAAGCAAGGAACAGTGTGCCTGAATTACTGCTGGCAAAGAGCTGAAATGTATTAATGCAGATGTAATAAAGGCTAGTTTTGGAGGCTTATAAAAGCCTATATATTCTTTTGAATAATTAGCGCTGGCAGTAAGCCCTTTAATCCCATAAAGCCCCATTATGTCAATAACAGACCTCACACAACAGGCAAATGGTACGGTGTCAGTACAGCAGCCCACGTTAGGGTGAACGAGCTGTCAAAAACACGTCGGGGCTGAAATTAACCCCCGGACAAACGATTTACAGCAAGCCAGGTTCCTCCCTCATAGCATCCACAGGCACATTGCTGACAACAGGGCGAGCACCACGAGCAGAGCATCTTTCAAGCCTTGTGCCACCCAAAGTTAGTCACTATTACACTGCCTGGCGAAATAGAGCCTCTGATGTTGTAACAACCATGATGATTACACAGGGAAAGGATGGTGGTCCTTGGAGTGAGTTTCCAACCTAAAATGTCCTCAGGCAAGCAGTCTCTTATGTTACAGGGGCTGCCTTCAGTGGGTAACAGGAGTTGTAGCAGCTCTGGTTCTTTATCAGAGCTCTGGTAAGAGAAAAATGAAAGCTAGGAGAACACAAAACACCCACCCCAACACCCTGTGTTTCAGAGGGACGTGCTACCCCCATTAAAACCTGTGCTCGGAAATGAACATAAGGCAAACCCCTGCCATCTCCCAAAATTAATCAACCACCACAGGCATGCAGGGAAACACAAAGCAGGTTGAAAAATAAAAGGATGCTGCTACTGTGCTTTGAAATTTTGTCATCTGCTGACCCTAGAATCAACCCTCTGGCCGGGTCAATGAGACCAGCAGGCTTTGGTCGCAGTGCTGCAGCCACCCTCCGTTGTGCTTCCCAGCATCTTCCCTCTCAACCCATTTCACGAGCCTCTCCCTAATTGCAGGGGATTCAGCCGTGCAGAGTTAAGATTCTGGTTTGCTTCACGGAAGCCAGAGCAAGATACAGAAAAAAAAAAAAAAAAGGCACGAAAATGCAAGTTATTAAGAAATTCAGTGTTTTTAACACCACCCTTCCAGCTCCAGGCATCGGCAGCAGTCGATTCCACGCAGACGATAAAGCCGTTCATCACTGGAGGACCCGTGCGGGTTCGATAGCTGATGTAAAGCAGATGATTGCTTCCATCGATTCAGACAAAATGCCCCAGCAGAGCTGCGTGCTGTCGTGGCCAGAGTGCATGCATGATTTTCTGATGGTTTAATAAATAAAGCATTGATTACAAAATGGAGCCTGATAAATCCTGACGGGGCAGATTTGCAGCTGTACCTCTCCTCTGACTCCTATAATTAACAGCTCAGTGCTGTGCTACAGCGAAGCAAGGACCGGCTCATACGGCAGCAATAGCGCGTTAGCAACATTTATGAAAATGTGCAAAATTACTGCACCCAGCATAAATGACAAGGTCACTCCTTGCTTTGGCTACAATTTTCTCATCTGGGGCTGTCTTACTACAAAAGAGACCATTTCTGACACCAGGGCTTCAGCCTCCTGATGACACCGTGGCCAGGAGATCAGCCCTCAGGTCAAGCACTCACCAGAAGGTGTGAGAGATGGGGATGACCAGCCGGGCTTCGGACACACGAGGGCTGCTAAGGGAACAATCCCACTCCTCGTCACAGGTTCAAAAGAAAAGACACCTTGAGAAACAGTACCGTGGCAAACCTGGAAGAGAGATCTGGGCAACTACAGCCTCGCATGGTGCCTTTCTGCTAAGCAACAGAACTACAGCCCTCCTGCGCACAGTTCCTCAAATGGCCTATTTTTTTTTTTTTCCTTGAAGTGCTGAATTTAGAAGATCTCAACCAGCGCAGGAGCCTTGCTGATGCAAGAGAGAGAAAGCACAAGCTGAATCAAATGGCGTTCACCCGTCCATGCAGATGCCGCTGCTGTAACTGTGATGCACAGAGGCAGAACCCAGCCACGACTCATGGGTCTTCAGTCCCAGTCCCCACCACCGCCAGTTCCTGCAGAAAGAATTATGCTTTCTGTGATCAATATATACGTTCTCCCAACAATATACTTTGCTATTAAGCCAGGCTACTACATGTCAAATTACCAGAGGAATTGCTTTACTATTTACTACCCTACTAGACTCTCCAGTCAAAGGAAGGTCCCAAATATGACGGCAACTTGCTCAAGACTCATACTTCACTTTACAGTACTTTAACAAGGTTGCAACTTCCTGATGCAACATTCTTTTACAGTTTTAAGGATTTGATTTTTTGCTTTGAAACAAATATATTGCAGAGGAGACTTACAGAGAGAGGAGAGGAAGAAAGGATTTGTCTTGAAATTTTTATTCAACTCCCTCCAGCCTGACTGGAGACAGAAATACACATGATGATTTAAAAAAAATGCTCTATTTTATCATGATAAATTTGTGTAATTTAAAAAGGTGACTTTGTACATCTCAATTCAAATGGAAAATGAGCTCTTTGGAAACAGAATGTGCAGATCTACAAAATATGTTAAATAGCATAGGGGATATTACTGAGAAATGTCCGTCGGAGAGTACTCATCTGAGTTAATCCTGTTTCCCAAATGAAATAAAGTGCAACAATAAATAATGGCTAGTGTGTAATTCCATGTAAAGTCAGGACCAATCTTTTCTTTCATCAAACTTGGTACAGTGTATGTGCCATGCAATTTTAATACCCTTAAATAATGTAAGAGAAATAGTGCAGACTAAGACTGACAGGAAATAGTCTAAGTTCCCAATTTTAGGAAACAGCCTATAAATGAAATTTCAGGAAGATATAACTTCTTGATTAAAGGAAAATTTTTGCTGTCATACCCCCAAAGAAGCATTAAATCTTATTACTTTAATTTATTAGATTTATTGGTATAATTTAGGAGAGAACCACAAAGACAACCAAAGAATCAGAGGACCTCACTGTGCTACACTGTACAGCCACTGCAGAACAACAACCTAGGAGACATTCAAGTAAAAAAAACAACAAAAAAACAAAAACAAACAAACAAGAAAACCCAGCTCCTTTCATAAGCATACATCAGCTTCTGATTTTTGACAGGCAGCATCAGCAAATGCATTTCTGACTCCTTCCATTTTCTTGCTGGATGGTTCTTAAGCGTCTCCCTCTCCTCCCCACCCGTCACTCCTGACCCTAATTTCCCGCACGCCAGATTTCTGTCCTGCTGGTGAATCTGATGTGCCCGATAGACCGGGCATGCAGGATGCTGATTAGCTCCATCGGCTTTAAAGTTTCCCTAGCCCATTTTTCAGGTAATCTTGTCTGAATGCCTATCTAGCACTCACACATGTGGCAGAGACGCAGCAGCTCACCTCGTACTCCAGGAAGACCTGCAATGAATCAGTAAAGCTCTCGGTCCAGATGTCAAAAAGCAGAGGCGTAAAAGCCTTGCTGAAGCTGCAGCTTGAAGCCAAACCTGCTGTATGCTTGTATGCCTCCCTGCAAGCTCACGGGAGTGAAGGTTTGCTGCCCTGATGAAAGCTGTGCAAGGCAGGAGCAAATCCACGGAGGGAAAGTCACAGCGCATGAGCTTACGCCGGCAAATAGTAATGCAAATAAGTAACTCTACTCACACGAGCAGCCTCCATAAATCCAGAATCATATTTGTGTTCAAATACTTCCTCCCACAGCTGCAAAGTGCGTGGGGAGGCTGAGAAAGAGTCATCTGCAAGCACAAGAATTCATACGACTTCAAGTCATCCTTATTAGAAACAAATGGTACGTATACACCACAGGAACAGACAAGCAACCAACGCTGTCTCTGTTCCTTCGGTAAATGAACCAAGAAAACGAGCTGCTCCAGAACAGGCCAAAAAGGAATATATTTTTTCAACCCAAAAGGGCCGAAAAGGTGCTGCTCCGAGCCTCCTCCTACCCCTCCCTACCTCACCTCTGCCAAAGCTGGCTCCGGTCTGCTCCTCACCTTCATCACCGTGCTGCTCCAACAGCATCCTCAGCATCTGCGGTACTGTATGGCACACTCAATCTTACAGATGGGGGACTCACTGCAGGAAGATACCTAGCTGAAAATCACATTTTATAGCTTGTGTTATGCTGACTAAATAATTTAGTAGTCCCTTCTGGTTTTAAAATCTTTCAGGGAGGGAAACCTACCTACTACTCTACCAAGTCCAGTACAAGTAGTAAATCCTTCTACCAAAAGAAAAGTGAACATGGCCTTGAATTTTTTTTCCTGTTAGACCAAACAAAGCCCCATGTAAGCCAGTGGGTGAAAAGTTTATGTTGTTATGAAAGAGATTGGATGAGTTACGGTAAAACCTTTGAGCCTGGAACTTCTGAACAGTTTGTACCAAACTCTAAAAGACTATAGAAAATAACATATCTTGCCATGAAGTGACAGTATATTTGAAGAAGAAATCATGCACAAGAAGAAACAGATTATAGTGTGAGTCCCATTTAACTCTACCAAAAGCTACAAACACTACTATGTTTCAGAAACTGAACCCTAAACAAGAAAATTGCATCTATTATGCTACATCCGTGGAAAAAAAAGAAAAAAAATAGCTGCTGCAGCATCAGCCCAAAGGGGATGAGGATCTTTAAAATGGTATAGCTGCACTTAAAACTGTTGAGATGGCTTACACAGCAACTTGATATCAATGAAGTCATGAATTTGATGGGTTCCAAATCCATGATGTGCTTAGGAAGGATTACTCACGTGGAGAAAGTTAGGCACTTATTTTTGCATTATTTATTACATGCAAAACCAGTGCTCTATATATTATTATCCCCTGAATCCATGTCTGTATGTGACACCCTTCCTGAGCAGCAGGCACCTTTTGATGTGAGCCCATTCACAGGCTGAACCTCGGCTACATATTTCACAGCAGCACCACACAGAAGCTCTGAAGCCCCCTTGGACTTTCCTGTCAAAACAGAAGCAGCACAATACAGGTCCCCTGTGCAGAAACACAGCATCTTTAATACTGGCAGCCATTTGGTTGCATGAGCCCTGGTGCAGCTTCGGCCCACAGTGGTGCCAGTGTGAGCAGAGAAGGTGGGCCTCATGGAAGTGGTCCTCTGCTTGTCCATGCTGCTGGTGCTTTCCCCACTGATTGTCACACATAGATCAGTTCCCTCCGGCTGAGGGAAGGTCACTGTCCTAGCACAGCTTCCAAGGCACTTGTGTTGTGATAAAGTTTCCTCTGCTCCACTGCCTCCATCCTTAAACAATGGGACAGATCTTGAGTGCAATCACATAACATGTGCAAGACAGCCAAGCATGGGTTCATGAAAGGCAAGTGCTGCCTGACCAACCTCATCTCCTTCTATGACTGGGTGACCCACCTGGTGGTGGAGGGACAGCCTGTTGACAGTCTACCTAGACTTCAGCAAAGCCTTTGACATGGTCTCCCACAGTATTCTCCTGGAGAAGTTGGCAGCCCATGGCTTGGACAGGCACACTCTGTGCTGGGTTAACAACTGGCTGGACGGCTGGGCCCAGAGAGTGGTGGTGAATGGAGTGAAATCCAGCTGGCAATTGGTCACCAGTTTTATTTGGGCCCATCCTTTTTAGTATCTTTACTGATGATTTGGACGATGGAATTGAGTGCAGTCTTTTGAGACTGCATTGAGTAAGTCTGAATTGAGTCAGAATTGACTGAAGAATAAGTCTGAAGTCAGAATTGAGTAAGTCTGCAGACGACACCAAGCTGGGGAGAAGTATCGACCTGCCAGAGTGTAGGAAGGCCCTGCAGAGGGACCTGGACAGGTTGGGTTGATGGGTAGAGGCCAATGGGATGAGATTCAACACGGCCAAGTGCCGGGTCCTGCACTCTGGCCTCAACAACCCCATGCAGTGCTACAGACTTGGGGCAGGGTGGCTCAAAAGCTGTGCAGAGGAAGAGATCTGTGGGTGCTGGCTGATGCTTGCCTGAACACAATCCAGCAGTGTGCCCAGGTGGCCAAGAAGGGCAACGGCATCCTGGCTTGTATCAGGAATAGTGCAGCCAGCAGGAACAGGGAGGTGATCGTGTCCCTGTACTCTGCTCTGGTGAGGCCGCACCTTGAGTGCTGTGTTCAGCTTTGGGCCCCTCACTATAAGAAGGACATCGAGGCCCTGGAGCATGTCCAGAGAAGGGCTACGAAGCTGGTGAAGGGCCTGGAGCACAAGTCCTGTGAGGAGTGGCTGAGGGAACTGGGGTTGTTTAGTCTGGAGAAGAGGAGGCTCAGGAAGACCTTAGCACTCACTACAGCTACCTGAATGGAAGGTGTGGGGAGCTGGGGGTCGGTCTCTTCTCGCAGATAACTAGCAATAGGATCAGAGGGACTGGCCTCAAGTTGTGCCAGGGGAAGTTCAGATTAGAAATCAGGAGACATTTCTTCTCAGAAAGAGCAGTCAGGCATTGGAATGGGTTACCCAGGAAGGTGGAGTCACCGTCCCTGGGGGTGTTTAAGGAAAGGATGGACTTGGTACATGGGACATGGTACTTAGGGACATGGTTTAGCAGGTAATATAAATGGTAGGGGTACAGCTGGATCAGATGATCTTGAAGGTCTTTTCCAACCTTAATGATTCTGTGATTCTATGACAAGGCAGTGGGAAAGATCTGGTCTTATGGGAAGAAACAGCAGTGTTTCTCCTTTTAAAAACAAACCAAGGATAGAAAAATCAATAGAGCATAGAGCAACTGAGCTATTTTTTTTTCCTACAATGAATACTAATGCACACACCTTTTATAAAACTTTCCCTCATTTTCAGTAAGGTACCACACTTCTTTTTCCTCTGCACATGTAGCTCCTCCTGTCCACCTTGCTCTACTGTTCTGAATTTCTCAGCAATTTCAAACCTAATTAAAAGTCTACTTAGCAGAAAGATGCTTCCCTCCTTTTACTGCCAAATCTCTCCACCTCGTTACTAGCCTCAGACACAAAGCATGCAATACCTAGGGAAGCAGTGACAGATTTAAGGCCTAGCCCCTGATGCCCATGCAGTGTTTCAGACTAGCACTTTGGGACCAATATAACTAACTGGGAGGTTCACAGTTTTCCAAATGAACACAGGGTAACGGTTTCTCTTTTTTGTCTGAACTTAGCAGAAGGTGTCCAACTTCTGGAGAAAAGTAATGTAAGTACTCCCCGCCAGCGACAGCAGAGCTTTCTAAAAAGCTTTTCTCGAAGCAATATACAGCACAGAGCTGAACAACCCCTTTTTTTGGTCCTCACTTGAGGTGACCTGCATAACTTGAAACACAGCTTTATTACCTAATAAAACCTCCCATCACACTAACTCAGCCTGTGCGGCCATGCACAGAGATAAAATGTGTGCACATGGGTGCACACATGCATCCATATCGCATATTCCTGGGTTTCACCATCTGGCATTGTTCTGGGGATTAATAAATGCAAAGTTAGGTTTAAAATACCACAAACGTGCCCAGGGAAGGAGAACTCTCACTGAAGATTTTAACAACCTACACGAAACGAAGGCGCTACAAGAAAAACAAAGTCAGCTAAGGCTGCAAGTGAACTTTAGCAAAATAAAACTGCACATTGATCAAGTCAGTGGATGTAAAATGTTACAATGATATGCGTTTTATGTAGCATAAGTAAGTCACAGAACAGTACGATTGATTAAAGGTTCCTCAGGTCTAGAGGAATGGAAATATGATAAATGCTAATGCGACAGAAATGTCAAAATAGATGAGGAATTACACATGCCAGTGACTGAGCGAAAACTAGCTGAGATTAAGTCTGAGACAAAGATGAAACGCCAGATTGCCTAAAGCTAATTATCTGGACAATTAATGGAATGCCTGCGACTCATTCTGATTATTAAGAGCACAGCCTATTTGAGAAAGGACAAAGCTATTTGCAGAAGTCCACACTGATTTCCTCGGAAGAGGATGCTGGCAATGAAGCGGAAGAAATTCTTACCCTGGAGATCACTAAGCCAGCTGCTAAAGCACAGTACAGCCGTGTCACCTGGTACCAAAAACCACACCGATCCCTTCCTTGGGCTGTCACTGGTGTAAAAATTCAACACACGTCTCATTTCCCAAGTTGATAATTTGACAGCGATCCTAGATAAGGAAAAAATACACGCCTTCAACACATGCAAAGCGAGATATATAAAAGTAGTTCTACCTCAGCCTGCCAGGAATTAAAATTAACTTCTTCCCGTTTCTCCTTAATTTTATCATTTATCAGTTTTAAGGAGATTCCTACATTCTTCTATATCTACCCACTCAAGAGCTAAATGTGGTTCCCAGATACATTTTTTTTGATGTGATGACACTTAAAACTATCTACAGGCCAGCCAGATGCAAATATCTGCTCATTCATCAGTTAATAAGTTAACAGGAGGAAATGGTAAAGATGTTTAATAAAAATATTTCACTTGCTTCTTTTCAAGAAGAAAAAGAAAAAAGGCTAATCCCAAATACATAGATGCTAAAGATGCTTTCTGTGTAGAGTTATCGGAACCTTTTGCTGCATTTCTGGTACTGGACCATGTTAATATCTGGAATGAGAAATCCCCAGCATGTTTCCCTTTTAAGCACTGCATTTGTGACAGTAGAAAGCATGGGGTCCACATCCTTTTGAAAGCAGTGTTACATTTTCACATTTTTCCCCATCCAGCAACTTCCCTGGAAATACATACCCGTCCACCACTGCCATGAAGCCTCACATCCATCAGCCACAAGCCGCTTGGGCAGCAGAGTAAAATGGATGTAGCCCACCCCGGTGTTTCTCCAAAGAGTTTCCCCCTTCGAACACCAGAGGTAAATCAGAGCACCCGTCTAGGCTGAGCAAAGACCCATAGTGCAAACATCTGAGCACAAGCTCCACGGGACCTAGAAGGGCCAGCAGCAGGCAGAGCAAGCGGCTCCCACCAGCCAGGAAAACTCCCAGGGGCCAAATTTATTCATCCAGGCTCTGTCACAGACCGATGCAGTTATTCTGCTTTCAGCACTTGGCTAACACCTTTGCGCCGTATGTATATTCATTTTGTAGGTTTCTGCATCATTTAACAGCTCAATATGTAGGAATTTCCAGAGTTGTCTTGATCCTCAAATGTGGATGTACTTCAGCGCAGGGATCAAACAGCCGAGCTGTTCCTGCTGCTTATTTAAATTCAGCATTGTTCCCTTAAAAAGCAAGCATCTACAAGACAGCACTTTCTGCAGAGAGCATCGCAAGCTGCCACGCTTCTCGGAATAGACCTTTTGCCGGGCTGGTGTCAGTTTAACACACCGTGCCTAGATTAAAACTGTTTTTACAAACACCATTCCAGAGCAGACACCGGATTTTAGCCGAGGGGAAGGCAGCCAGGTTTTGCAGTAGGGAAACCAAACAATTGCATGAGGGGACAGCCCGTGTCTTCAAAACATATTTTATCCATCCTTAGATGGCAGAGGTATGAAGACATACTGAGGAAGCTGTGCTTCCTATTTTATTCTCCACAGAAAGAGGGCTGGGAAAGGGCAAAGAGCAATGTTTGGAGCTGCAGAGCCACTGCACCACCTCAGCACCAACGTGTTTGGTGAGCACACAAAACTTGGTGGTGAATCTGCATCGGGCACCAGCCCAAGCTCCAAAGTGAAGCTGTGTTAGCAAAGCTCCAGTAAGCTTTAAAATGAGGAATAGGTCGCACATTAAGCCCCAACTCCCACGTGCAGCAGCGACAGCAGCCACGAGAGGGGTCACAAGCAGGACGGATGTCTGTCCCGCTGCTCCTCCTGCAGTTCTTGGACCATGCTCAATTACCACCCGCAGGTAGGGTTATAAGCAGAAAGCATTTGGAATCCATAGGCTTAAAATGTATTTTTTTTTTCCACCAAGATGAAAAGCGCCCCCAGCGCCTTTGTTTAATGTTCATATTCCTCACAAAATCTTGCTAACAGTTAAGGGTTTTCCAGGCCCTTAAGGAAAGCACGTTAATATTTCAAACTTCAGAAAGGCCAAATCTCTCCTTTTGGCCTTTTAAACTGATTTTCCATTTCTAAGATGGTGATTAACACCCTGCTGAGAGACACAAGCACACAGTCAAGAACTCTTGGCTTATCAGGCCACCCTGGTATTTGAGAAACACTCTTTTCAGCTTACATTTCGGTTTGCCAAAATACAGAAATCAGCTGTTTCCCAGGGGAGAGTTGACAGACACGCAGAATTTCAGCACACAGATACGATGGAGGCTGGGAAAAATACACAAGCACAACGAAGGCACCGGTCTGTGCCGCGCACTGAAGTCAGGGCAAGGAGGTGTTGAGAAGAAGCGCACGGCAGTGCTTCGAGGGGAAAATAGCTGATAGGTCCATCTCAGCTGCCAGAGTAACCTTTTCTGATCTTTGCTTGCAAAAGATGATTTAGGGCTCTAAAAGACTTTTATTTCCCCTCAAAAGCGGCTTGTCAGAATAATGCACACTTCCGCTGACCCCATGGGAGGCACGGGAATTGTGCCAATCCATCACGCCGATGCCACCATCCACTGCTGTCTTCCATGTCCGTGCTTTTAAAGGTTAAGAAGCCCTTGGTTTTGTGAAAGGATATTTTTCCCCTTATCTCAGTCTTAAAAACAGCTGGAAATTCATACAGCTTCTATCTATATTCAGAGAGGTAAGGGGGGGCGAGCATTATTGCTGGACTCCGAGTTTCTTTCCAGACTTGACAAAAAACAAGCTGCTGCTGAACACAAGCAAATGCTGTCCTGTGTTTTGATTCCCTTTGCACTAAAAAGAGGTTAAGTGGCTACTGAAAGATGCATTGTAGCTTTCCACACTACAATCCATCCGTCTCGAGCGCAGGCATGAAAGATCTTGCAGGAACTGCAGCTTTGGTAAAGCAACAATTCTGTATTTAAATGATTTGTTTGGACGAGGCTTTCAGACAGAGTCCTGCGTGGCAGCCGCTCCAAGCGTGCAGCACGAGCCAGAGCACTCGCTCCATCCTCCCCTTTCACATTTTCTAAACCCAGCAGCACTCTGACTACTCTTCTCACATCTCAGGCAGGTTTTCTGTGACAGAGAATAACCTGTATTCTCCCAAACCTTGTGGATCTTAATCTGAGGAAGAGGCAATACAGAAGGGGAAATTCCACTTTTACCAAAAATTCTGCCAGAGTAGGTTTTGTAGAACACATTTTTAGACAAGGTACCTTTTAAACCTCCAAAGAGAGGGAGAGAGAGGTTAGAAAATACGTGCATGCATATATGTGATTTAAATGATAAAATCCTACCCATGAAAATAAATAAGTTGCACACACAAGAGGTGGCCCAAATTATACCCCTGTTGTCCCATTAATCATATTTATTGCAAAAGTCTAATAATGTTATCTTCGGTCCCAGCTTCAGCAGCCTATAATTTAACATAAGCACCTTTTCTTGGCATGCGAATTGGGTACTAACACTGTCTCCTCCAACCTCTTTTGTGCTTTTAAATTAGAAAACCTAAATGTCGCTTTTCTTCAGCTACGAAATACAGTCAAGGTCACCGTAAAATAAAAGAGCAATTAACTTCACAACCAAACTGTTGTACAGGAGCGAAATATAGTACTTCAAAAAGTGGGTAAAACCTAAAAATATTCCTAAAAACGGTACCTCTCGCTCAGGCTAAAATGACAAAGCACAGCTTCAGAAATTCCTGTCAAATCACGGAAAATATTCCACCTCCCCACCAATTTGTTCGCTGTGCTTTCATCGCTGGGAGTCAGAAGGGCCTGTGCGATAGCAGTGATGGTGGAAAAGCTGGCTGCCTCCCCCCTGCCTCCAACCCTGTCCCCAGGTGAGCCCTAAGCAGTTAATAAACATTAGCACAGAATTTCTCGTTTTGTCTCCTCTATCAATGAAACGACACAAGTTGTATGAAATCTCCGCGTAAAATTTTGCGGGAGACAGCAGCGACAATGGATCAGGACGGAGTTGCCCTATTTGAAAAGACAAAGAGAAAGCTAGCATTAAGGGTTTGGAGTTGATAAGTATTTTAAAATACGAAATTATCTCAGCTCGAACCCTTCTCTAAAATCAGCCAAGATTTTGAAACTCGGTAAAATTAAATGCGTTATCAACACACAACTGACTGTGCAACCCAGCACAGATGAATTATCTCATTATTGCCATAGAAATCAGATGAGGCGTGCATAGTAAGTGACATATTAAATGCAATTATAAAACCCTACTGAAGTGATGTTAGTGACCTGACACATGACAAAAAAAAACGAGGCAATGCAGAATTAAGGCTAGAAGATGTGCTGATAATATTTCTATACAGTGTACATCAGATAGAAAAATACTGCTTAGACAAAAGTACAAACCCCACAATCAAAAGAGATTAAAAATGTAAGAAATTAACAGGTAGGGAAGGAAATATCTTCAAGAGGAGCAGTGCTACCTGCTGATGCTGTAATCTGCAATTGCCCTGATATGTTGAAGGGGCTGGCAGAGCCACCTCCCCACTTCACTTGCCTCCATCCCCTAGCATATAGGAAGAATCACACTCACAGCAGTAATTTTCTCCTATGAAACAACAAAGAATTAGAAACCAACACAGCCCAGAGACCCTGGGAAGCCTCCATCCCCTTCACTTGTCCATCATTTGTGAACTTCCCAGTGCTGGATGGCCCAGGCTGCCACAGGAGGTTCTCTCTATTTTCTGTTGCAAAGTGCTTCCTTCAAACCTAACCTACATTTGCCGTGCTGCGATGCACTGCTCTTTATCCTGCTCACAACAGACAGATTACAGGTTATTCCCTTCTCTTGAGCAGACTTTCATACCTTTCAAGGTCACACAGCCCAGCAAAGAGACCTGGTGACAGCTTGGATTGTTTCAACTTGTCCTACATCCTATTTTCTAAATTCCTCATCGTGCCTGTTGTTAACCTCTCCCACCTCCTTGCAGCTTTCCTCAAGTCTTGTGAGCCAAAGCAGGCACACAAATATTCTCCACGAGTCCTTATTGGTATCAGCCAACTCAAAAGGACTAATTCATGCATCCTATGTGCAATGACTCCTTGCAACAGTCCCTGTTGACTTGCATCTAGTTTGTGCCACTTTCGGGCTACAGAAGACACGCCTTAGAGCTGTCT